GTCTTAATTGTTTGCCCACCGCGTTTCAATCAATATAAGAATCGACACATATAAGAGTAAAACAATTGCAGGTTGCGGTTATAGATTTGCATGACGTGCCCATAAATCAATCCGTTGTCTGTAATAATCTAGTGGCATTGTTAATTGATCTAAAAGTAATAAGATTTATATTACATTCGCCCACACTGCTAAGCGCATTTACGGAAGTTTGCGGCTCATTTGAAACAAGAGTTCGCTAATATTTGACTCGGCTACGAACAGCGATTGTAAACATTTTTTGACACACTTGTATCAGAGGAAATCGTGATGCAAGGAAAATGAATATCAAAATCCTTTTACAGGATACAGGGGGCCTACTTATAAAAAACGACACGCCGTAACTATCAAAGAAGGAAAAAAAAGGTTCCCTATAACCGTATTTTAACTACCCTTTTAAAAAAAGCTAAAAAGCCACATAGATTCAGATTCCATATTGTGCGAGCCAGCTATCTGCCACTGCCGCCCAGGGCTCTATTGTGACTCTCTCCATAGCTATGGAACGTTATCCAGGTTCGTCTTTCTCACCGGACTCCATAACTTAGATAGTGGCTTCTTGGTGTAGATCATTGCCCCTGGTTTGGTTACGCGCTCTCGATAGGCTTTCACACTGACGTAACCTGTGTGTATGGTTTTTTCTTCCTCTTCTTGACAGACTCTGCATTCAGTGTTTTCTTCCACTCGATTTAGGCTTAGATGTTGGCAGTGGTGCGTCAGGTCTTCTGTGTCATTGCTGATTTCGCAACGGGTTTGACCAGGTGTAGGGTTCCGATCCGATTCGATCATACACCTTGACGAATGATGGGCTACTTCGCGCTTTCATTGACTTCGTGGCCTTCGTGCCCTGTTACCGATGACAGCGTCATTTTATTTTGACTTGTTATCCTGTTTAATGCCACACGACAATGCAGAACTAAGGAAGGAAGGAAGGAAACTTGAAGGTCTTGTAACGACAACTTATTCTGCGTCAAGCAAAACATTGAGAAGGAAATAGTCACAGAGATACACATATAACATTTGCTGATCTTCAAGAAATCTTACAACACAAATATCAATCATACACTAATTGCTTCAATTCAAAACTTATATAATTGAACAACATCAAGAGGCAAATATGTCACCAAGAAGTAAATAAAGGCCTCAGACAGGGATGCTGTATATCTCCAACACTGTTTAATATCTATCTGGCTGCAGCCCTGAAGCAATGGAAAAGGAAAATACACGGAATGAGGATTGAACTTAAGAACTTTTTTTTATACACCTTCAGTTTGCAGACGATCAAGCAGTAATATCAAATGATAAAGAGCATATTGGAGTACATGATGCGTAAACTGATCGAAGAATGTGGGAAATGGGGCCTTGCAGTTAACATAGAAAAAACCAAATATCTATGTGTTGATGGAGAACCTGGTGATCCAAAATTAAACGACACGTTGCACATTAAACATTGCCAAGAGTACAAATATCTGGAAGTTACTTTCGATACAACAAAAAACAAACAAGAAAACAATAAAATGTCTTAATGTAATACTATGGAATAAAGAAAAAGAAAATATAATATATATGAAGGATTAGTAAAATCCAGTCTACTATATGGTGCTGAAAGTTGGAGACTTACAGAAAAATATAAAAAAAGGGTAGAAGCTGTTGAGATGGATGCAATGCTTAGGTCACTGAGGATTGCTCGGATGGACAGGGTTCGAAACGACAGAGTCAAAGAAATAATGGGCATCGGAGGAACCGTTACAGATGATATATGAATGCCACATACAAGACTTTCCAAACAAGCAATGGAATGGCAACCTAAAGAACATCGGAAAAGAGGAAGACCAAAAACCTATTGAAACAGGGCGTAACGCAAGCAAAATTTTGCTGGTTAGTCACTACTTTCGGGACTATGTGGCATCGGAAAATTTGATTTACAGTGATTTAAAAAACGGGTTAAAAGCCAGTTTACGTTCGTGTAAACAGAAGCGATACAAAGCGAGAAAAAGTCTTTTTTGCAGATCCGAAGGAATGCTAGTAAATTCACTACGAATTAGGTTATTGCGAACGATCGGTTGGGTACCATTGCTGATAAAAAGTCGATCATCGCCATCGGTTTATTAATGCCCAGAACGATCCATCAATCAACGAACGTCGTGAGTCATTTCCGCTCGTTTACCAATTCCGAATCCAAGCGCACGCTTGGAGAAGCTTCAAACGCCTTTTTTTGTCGTTTAGATTGGCATCTCGAGCAAGCAATAAATACATGACATCATACCGTTTTTTTGGTTATATATTTTTTTAAATGTGAAGTTCAGGTAATGACCTTTTCTGACTTGATATATGATCCGCGTGGTATTTGCTACCGCCGCATTGATTAACGAAAATCGTGATTCCATGTCCCACGCGCGGCCAGCCGTTTTATTGTCTGAATCTGCATTTTTAACGACTTTGTTCGTTGAACTAGAACGGGTAGTGCAAACCGGCTATAGCATATTCGTTCATTGAAACCCATCGGGGCCTAGATAAAACAGTAGTGAGATTAGTGGTGATGCTGCTTTTACTTTTTTTGAAGCTGTTGGTGGTATTTGGTCCTAATTCATTCCGTTTTGCTAAAGTCTTGCGGGAGATAGTTTGATGATTAATAAAACTAACTCTCAAGCCTCAGACAATACTGGTATCAAATAGATTCCCTTGACTACTTCGTATTTAGTGCATTATATCACTTTCCTTGTTACCCGGTGTATTTTGTTTTTCCTGAGTCTTTTTAGCAAGCTGAAGTTATATTCGTTCGAAAAACAGAGTTCCTGTGGGATAACAAAATCCTCCCAGACACTCAGTCGGGTTTTCGAACTCTTCAAAGCACTACTAAGTAAACTCTTGTCTCATACTTTTGGATTATAGTAAAGCGTTCGACAGCAGTAATAGCTCTTTCACTTTGTCAGGGATACCAAAGACTGGCTATAGTAAATACTCGTTCAGATTCAATTACTTTAGAGTAGAGTGTTCCCCCGGAGAGTCTTCTGGGACCTATACTGTTCTCAGTTGACTTCTATATTTAAATTTTTTAGTTCTTATCAAAGCCATGTTGCTGGTGAAGTTCATGGTTTTTTATTGAATGCGCAGATGTTTACATTTGGAAATAAAAATGAAGAAATTGTGAGATTACCTTTACTTCTTCGATTTGAAAAATTAAGGTTATGGTTTGACAGTGACTTGCGGTTTTCTAAACACGTTGGCTCGATGTTACAAAAATCTTGAGGAGATTGCATACCGCAACATCTTTTCAGGGAGAAAGTCAAACTTAAACTCTGTAATATGTTAGTTTTGGCCAGCTATACTAAATCGAGATAAGGATCTCCAGAATGCTTGTATTCGTTTTAGTTAAAATATGACCACATTTCCCAGGACTTCTCCGATTCGAAATGGTTCAAGTTCAGTTGGCCTACTGAACTCTAATAAGATTTCGTACACTATGCAGAGGACATGATATTCACAATCAAGACGTCTGTCTTTATTTGAGATATTGCGTTCTTAGACACACGTAACTTTTCGGAGGTCTTTTAGCTAGCATTCAGTTAAAATATTTTATGCTATAACGTTTCTCCCCACAATAAAATCCCCTTAAACCTTTAAACTTTGCTGCATTAAACGGCTTCGCTAATACGGGGCTTCGAAATAGATTTTTACATTTTGGTTAAAAAAAATATGATGTCCAGAACACCTGTCATACTTTATTTAGTACTTAACAATTTATGGTAACGAAGAAATTCCTTGGTAATAAGAGATTTTCCCAGCGTATGTGCGTAAGTTTAGCCTAATTACATCCAAATAAAATAAAATTCCCCTTTAATAATAATGTTCCAATTCCCGCCGATATTTTTAAATGCGTTTCACATCGCGTTCCGGTTGTATTAATTGCGCTAATTGGTGGCAATTCCCGGCTATGCAATTTCCTATCGATATTCGAAATGCACACAAATGTGATACTAATTATTATAAGGTTGTTCGGAAAGTCATTTCGTTTTTTCCCGTCAGAGGACTTAATTACGTTTTTTCGAAACCAACTTCACACTTAAGCCGCATAACCATTATATGTCTTGAGAGCTGATATTGCAAGGCTTGTGTGTGAAAAAGTTCTATTAATTCTACGCAGTAGTTTTTGGTTGGTGCCCTTTTAAATATGGAGAGCAATAAGCAGCATTTTCGTCATATTTTACTTTTTTACTTCAGAAAAGGTAAAAATGCTGTCCAAGCGAGAAAAAAATTGACGGATGTGTATGGAGAAGGCGTGTTAACAGTACGCCAGTGCCAGAACTGGTTTGCAAAATTTCGATCCGGCAATTTTGATGTCGAAGATGCACCACGGTCTGGAAGGCCGGTCGAAGCTGACAAAGATGCGATAAAGGCATTAGTTGATGCAAATCGGCGAATAACCACACGAGAGATCGGTGAGAGATTAAATTTGTCGAATTCGACTGTTTATGACCATTTGAAAGGCATGGGCTTAACCTCGAAGCTCGATGTGTGGGTGCCGCATGTCCTTACGGAGCGAAATTTGTATCGTCGCGTTGACGTGTGTGATTTGC